GGCGAGCGCGGCTTGCCGCAGCTCGGCGAGCCCTGGATATGCTAGAGTACCTCTTACATCTAACACATACAGGCCTCTCCCTCAGTTTGCTAAAGGTACACCTCGTGGCCATAACTGCATTCCACCAACCCATGAAGGACAAATCGGTCTTCGCCCATCCCATGACTAAACGATTCCTAAAGGGCATCTAGAACACATTTCTGCCTGTTAGAACACCAGTCCCAGCCTGGGACCTAAACCTTGTTCTATGAGCTCTAACCCATACACCATTCGAACCCATGGCCACGTGTTGAATGATCACCTCGTGGCCATAACTGCATTCCACCAACCCATGAAGGACAAATCGGTCTTCGCCCATCCCATGACTAAACGATTCCTAAAGGGCATCTAGAACACATTTCTGCCTGTTAGAACACCAGTCCCAGCCTGGGACCTAAACCTTGTTCTATGAGCTCTAACCCATACACCATTCGAACCCATGGCCACGTGTTGAATGATGCACCTTTCAGTGAAAGTCGCTACGTTAGTCGCACTCACTTCAGCTAGAAGAGTAAGTGAAATTGGGGCGCTGATGGCTGACCCACCCATCACCATTTTTCATAAGGACAGGGTGGTCCTCCAATCACATCCAAAGTTCTTACCTAAAGTCCTTACCTTCTGGCATTGCAACGAACCGCTGGTGCTACCTGTCTTCTGCCCAGAGCCGCATGCCACTGCTGAAGAGGCTAAATGGCGCACTCTCAATGTGCACCACGCGATTGGGTGCGCAAATCTCCACACAGAGACTTTCCAAGTGGATTGTAGATTGTGTCCGCCTGGCTTATGCCAGTTTTAACCAGCAGCCCCTGCTGCAATTGTGAGCGCATTCTACAAGGGCCATGGCAACCTCTGTGGCCTACCTTAGCAGCATTAATCTGATGGACATTTGCAGAGCTGTAACATGGTCTTCTGTACACACTTTTTCCAGACATTATGCCTTGGACACTTACCTGAAATGGAGCACGGAACTTGGACTAACGGTCCTCACCAAAGTTCAACACAATTATTAACCAAAGCACCATCCGCCTCCTAGCACGGGTACTGCTATATAGTCACCTAAGTTGGAGCACCCACAGGGACACTCCTCGAAGAAGACGACAACGAGAAAGTTACTCATTTCATGCAGTAACGGAAGTCCTTTGAGATGGTTGTACCTGTGGGTGCTCCACCACCTGCCCTTCCTCCCCTCTGCTTCAGAGTTATTGCTGTTATCCTTCTGGGCCAGGGAAGGAACTGAAGGGATGGTTGCTGCACATGTGTGGTAGTGGCACCGCCCGTGCCTTCTGCTGCACATGCACGGCACACGGGAGGGCACTCCTACTGAAAATCTCCATCTAGATGCGCAACGGTGCTGCAAGACCTAAGGTGGAGCACCCACTGGGACAACCATCTCGAAGAACCTCTGTTACTGCATGAAGTGAATAACTTTCTCTTCTTTAACTCTCTCCTTTTGATAATCTTAATCCTTTTTTTATCCTTGATGATTGAGGGGTACAAGGGAACCCAGGTTTGTAGCAGGCTAGTTGAGCGCCTTTCTAAGGCTTATGCTGGAAAAAAGGTGCTTTCAAAATTTGAAAGCATCTCCTTTGGTTGAATGAGAATACCTTCTGTGGGATGCTGAAATCTTACCTAATGCTGCTTCTAGCTGGAGGAAAGATACTGCAGCAATGACTTGTTTGGATGTATCTAGTCTTGGACTTCTCAGATGTCTTGGTAGCGTGGACTCATGTCCCTCTTTCCTCTC